CTACCTGGGATGCGATCCGGCTGTTCTTGCAGTGGGGAAAAACTTGTCTGAGTTAGGAAGCGGAGGAAAGAACCATAGTCATACTGTTGAGTTTTTTCAGCCAGCTGTCCAGACTAAAGAGATGGGGAATGACCTTGGGTAAGCCTCAGAACTTTCACTTGCTAATGAGAATTGCAGCAAGCCACCTATGGGTTGGCTGTCTGCCTATCGTGACTTAATACGCCTTTGCCTTCGAGAGATGCTGCCCGCCAAAGATAATTAATTACAACATCACGCTCCAGTTAGTCAGCAGCTTGTGTAAATATCAGTGGCCATGGAAGCACGGCAGTCAAGCGTCCGAATCTGGTTGTTTTTTGTTTTTGCATCCCATGTAATCTGCAAAACCATTTTCCCAGTGATCAATGGGCATGAGCCAACAGCAGGTCTATAATCTCTTCCTGGAATAGTATGCGTCTGTTTCTAGTAAACTCCCGGGGAATGTGTTGGCCGAGTTGCTGAAGCACAGAGAAAAGCCTTATAGAGTGTAAACGAACAAGCTATACACTATATCAGCAAAGCAGCTATTTTGTAGGTGATGTACTGTCTCTCCGTGAGCTCACAGATTTGCTTTAAACCCGGGGGGTGGGTGAAAACCACTGCTGATAGATGCTGGGAAGCCCTGATGTGCAATGAGGTATTCTCAGCATCTTCCCTTCAAAGGGGTTTTTCTCGGCTGCTGGCCCTACAAGGGTGTTGGTGGAGACTGGCAAAGCATACTGAGGCTATGTCTACACTTCAGAGTTTTTGTGGAGAAATGGCTGTTTTTCTGCAAAAACTCACGGCGCGCCCACACCTCAGGCGTGAGGAATAATGCCTTTTTTTGCGCAAGAGCTCTTGCGCAAAACGGTGTGCGTGGACGGGGAACAGGGGGGTTTTGTTTAAAAAGAGGCAATCGAAAAAAAGCACAGGTGCCCTGGTGGCCATTCGCTGCATAGCAATCAGAGTTTCCTTTCGAAAGAGCGTTCATGTGGTCTGGTGCACTTTTCCGATGCACTTTTCTCGCTTTTCCGATGCACTTTTCTCGCTTTTCCGATGCACTTTTCTCGCTTTTCCGATGCACTTTTCTCGCTTTTCCGATGCACTTTTCTCGCTTTTCCGATGCACTTTTCTCGCTTTTCCGATGCACTTTTCTCGCTTTTCCGATGCACTTTTCTCGCTTTTCCGATGCACTTTTCTCGCTTTTCCGATGCACTTTTCTCGCTTTTCCGATGCACTTTTCTCGCTTTTCCGATGCACTTTTCTCGCTTTTCCGATGCACTTTTCTCGCTTTTCCGATGCACTTTTCTCGCTTTTCCGATGCACTTTTCTCGCTTTTCCGATGCACTTTTCTCGCTTTTCCGATGCACTTTTCTCGCTTTTCCGATGCACTTTTCTCGCTTTTCCGATGCACTTTTCTCGCTTTTCCGATGCACTTTTCTCGCTTTTCCGATGCACTTTTCTCGCTTTTCCGATGCACTTTTCTCGCTTTTCCGATGCACTTTTCTCGCTTTTCCGATGCACTTTTCTCGCTTTTCCGATGCACTTTTCTCGCTTTTCCGATGCACTTTTCTCGCTTTTCCAATGCACTTTTCTCGCTTTTCCAATGCACTTTTGCAGCGTGGACACGCTCTTGCACAAGACGTTTTTGCGGACGATCTCTTCTGCAAGAAGCTTCTTGCACAAGAAACCTCAATGCTGACCTGCCCTTTTACTGGAGAAACAAGGCAGACGTGATTTGAACTCCTTCTCCTGCTCTTTGGCTTTCCCAGTCCAGCCCACGCAGTGGCGCTTTTACTCAGACCAGCTGTTTTAAGTGTGGTTGTTGCTTATTGGGTGGGTTAAGGTAGTCAACAAACCTGGAGCCATAAAGAAATGGTTTTCCAGAGCATATTAAGCAGAACCTTCAGGGAAGGCGAAGGGGTAACTTTTGTATTGGGCATTGATCTTCAACAGGGTAACACTGGGCCCTAATTCTCAGTTACAATCCAGTCACTTCCTATGGGAATGCTTTAGAGTGAGCATAAGCTACATTTACACCTACACTCCCAGAGCAGTGTAAAAGGGGCTTAGAGTCACGGAAGGGGAGCAAAATCAGTCCCCTGTGGGTGATTTGACCCAAAATGTTTATCGCTCTCCCTGTACCAGGTGTTATTGCATCTGACAAAGTGGGTTTTGTAACACGTGCTTATGCCTAAATAAGACTTTAAGGCTACATCTAGACTGAATGCCTTTTTCGTCTAGATTACATTATGCGGATCGAAAAATCGATCTGCTTTGTCGAAAAAGAACGTCCAGATTGCCGGACGCTCTGTCGACAAAAGAAGGCGCCCGGAAGTGCTCTGGCAGAGCATAGGGGCAGCCTTTATTTCCAGGTGCTTCTGCCTGCCCTCTGCAGAGACGCATGCTAAAAGGGATCCCCCTGGACAGCCGTTGCTCTGCTCCTGCTTCTGGCTTGCCTACCTCCTAGAGGGAAAGCAAAGCTCAAAGGTGCTGCAGTGCTTGCTCTGGTTGCCCTGCTTCCTCGGACACCACAGCACTTTGTTTTCTGGACTTTTTTCCGCTTTTCACCTTTTTTTGGGCCATGGAGCCTGAGCTGCCCCTGGGCAAGCGATGGCCCCGCACTGCCATACCGCAGCTACTGCTGCATCTGCATGACTCTGTCATGAGTCTCCTTTCTCATATGGACCTGGACCACACCGAGGAGACCCTCCTCCGGGGTGCAGGAGCTCTGCCCTTGCCCCCAAACTTTTTTGGGGACAGGCAGATTTGGAGGCACGAGGCGAGTTCGGACTGCTGGGGCCGGCTCGTCAGTCAGCTCTGGGACGACGACCACTGGCTCCGCAACTTCCGGATGTGGACGGCCACATTCCTGGAGCTGTGTGCCTGGCTCCCCTCTGCTCTGGGACACGAGGATACCCACCTGCGGCCCGCCGTCCCCCTGCAGAAGTGAGCCACCCCCAACAGCCATCGCTCCATGGGACACCAGTTTGGCGTGGGGAGGTCTACCATCGGGGCCGTCTTGATGGAGATAAGTCACTCTTGGGGGACAGGCCCTTCTGATTGTGGGGGGCTTGAGAAAGGGGGAGTGCCAGGCAAGGGCAAGGGGGGGTGGGGGATGGAGTGGCACTTGGAGGCTGCTCCTCAGCCATCCCTGCACTGATGAAGGGGAGGGGGTGTCCTGACAAGGGGAGGGGTGGGGTAACCTGTCTAACTCCCTGGTTTCTGTCTATTTGTCTCGTGCTGCAGGTGGTGAGGGCCATCAATGCGGAGCTGCTGAAGAGGCTCATCTGTCTCGGGGATCTGGAAAACATCCTTGATGGGTTTGCCACCCTTGGGTTCCTGAACTGAGGAGGAGCCGTCGATGAGACACACATTGCAATCCGGTTGGTAGATTTCCACTCCATACGGCTAAATGCAGTGCCTTGCATGGTGTCAAGTATCAGAGGGGTAGCCGGGCTAGTCTGAATCTGCAAAAGCTAAAGTGGGTCTTTGCCCATGAAAGCTTATGCTCCAACACTTCAGTTAGTCTATAAGGTGCCACAGGACTCCTCACCGACATTGCAATCCACGCGCCACCCCATCAACTATTCCACGGTGCTACAGGCCCTGGTTGACCACTGGGGACATTTTATGGACATTTGTGTGGGGTGGTCGGGGCAGGCACATGATGCCCACATATTCAGGAACTCCTACCTGTACCGCAGATTGCAGGCAGGAACATTTTTCCCCAGCGGCACCGTGTGCTCAGGGATGCGCAGATGCCAGTGTGCATAATGGCCAGCGCGGCCTACCCCGATGCCGAGGCTCGTGAAGCCCTACACCGGCCACCTGGATGTGAGCAAGGAGCTTTTCAACATGCATCTTAGCCAGGCTCACCGGCAGGTGGAATGTGCCTTCGGCTGGCTGAAAGGGAGGTTCCGTTGCGCGCGGCCTACCCCGATGCCGAGGCTCGTGAAGCCCTACACCGGCCACCTGGATGTGAGCAAGGAGCTTTTCAACATGCATCTTAGCCAGGCTCACCGCCCACAACATCCTCGAGGTGGTGGCCACATGTTGCACCCTCCATAACTTGGTGGAGAGGACAGGGGAGGCACAGTGTCATGGCTCCTTCCCCACTCTGGCACAATAAATGCAGAAGTGGGGGCCAGCAAGTGTACCCCAAAACCTTATATACCAGGATTTGGCATAAAACGTCCCCCCAGAATCTTAAAACCCTAGATTTTGGGGATAGAATCTTTGCTGCCACCACCCAAATGAATAAAGAAACCAGAGGAAAGACCATTTGGGAAAATCTCACCCCTAAAGTAAAAAGCAGGCCACCACCATGAACCAATACCAGGTTAATAAAAGAAAAGAGAAAACGTTTATTAGCACCACAATATTCCTGTTGCAGGCATAATAACTAGATGGAAAAGTAACAAATAACATACTCATGGAGAAACTCCATGGACCTAGAACTTAGTTACAAAGAAAAGCCAAATATCTTTTAAAAAGTGCATCGACAGCAGATCCCATACCCAAACCATAAAACAATGAAACCTAACGGATTTATCTAAACTTTACCCTTCTTACACAAAGTGAAGAAAGAGACTTTTCTTGGAGGGAGACACAGTGTCTGTCCCTCTCAATAACTGGAGAGGACCGCCCAGAACAAAGGAGGGAAAACCCCAAAATTCTTTTGTCCCAGTTTGAAATTCCTACCTACATTCCTATTGGCCACTCCACCTGGCTAGGTAAGGGACATAGTTAACCCCTTAGTCTCCAGGCTGCTGGGTAACCCTCATAATCATGGCATGCCCCCTTTTTGATTTTTGAGAAACCCTCACACCTCTCCCCTCCCCTCCCAAAAATATCAGCAAAACTTGTTGAGGGGAAAAAAAGGTTGCCCTTTTAAGAGCAGAGCAGACATTGCCCTTTTAAGGCAGCTATTCTGAAGTCTGCCCAGGATGCTCCATCCTCCCTGCGCCCCAGCCAGCCCGAGTGGCACGAGTTCCGGAGGACACCCGAGCCAGGAAAAACAGAAAATACCGGTCACTTCAGGTGATATTTTCTGAATTTTTTTACCGGATGGACCAGGTTCTTTCTTGGGGGCGGGGGGATTCATGGGCAGGAGGGGGGGCTGGGTCACCTCGCGCCTATGCTCTACATGTTGTTGTTGGTCACACTGCAGGGCACGTCAGGGTGATTCCTTGTATAGACAATATGCCCAACTTAATCCTTTGCTTAGGCATCAACTTGTTCCTGAGGCGTTCCATCCCTTTGTGTGTCGTGGCACAAATCTCAAATAGTCAAGTTTCTAATTTGCTGCCAAAAAGGCTATTACAGCAGCTTTAGATTTCAAAGCCAGTTTTATTCCTGTTTCAGAGTGACCTTTGGAGCCGTTTTCAGAGTTGGAAACAAAATAGATCTTTTTTTCTTTACATGCTCTGGTATTCAAAGCTCCTGAAATGGAGCCTTCACTGGATTAACAGCATTTCTAAGAATAAATGTAGATCTTGCCAGAGTCCACATTTTTGTGCGCCCCTGCCTTCCCATCACAGTGAGAAATCACTGGCACAGAGCAATGCAACCAGGCATTTTAGCAGCTTCATTGTGATTTACAATGCCTCAGAGTGGATACGGCAGAATTGCTCAGATGCTGGAGTGGGACTTGACAGATTTGGGTTCAGTTCCAGGCTGTGCCACTCACCTGCCAGGTAACCTTAATATTTCACGTCTCTGCTTGTTCTTTGTCTGTCCAGATTGTAGATTCTCGGGGTGGGAAGAAACTGGTTTTTTACTGTATGTTTGTGCAGCCCCTGACATAATGGGGCCCTGATCTCTTTTGAGGCACCTCTGTAGCACTAATAGTTAGATCCAACAACCTGGATCTATTCAAAAGCAGAGAAGAACAGCTACATTCACCAAAGCCAACAATTCAGCCAGTTTTAAACATAATTCTTAGCACTTGCCCAGTGCTCCCAGCTTCTGCCTGTAGCTCTCAAAGGTCTTAACATATATTAATCCACTATACTGCGTGTATGCAAACCATACCCACTGTAGATGTGCATTCAAAATTCAAACAGAGGGACAGTAAGGCCGTGTCCAGACTCAGGGGTTTTTTCGGGAAAAGTAGCCTTTTCCTGAAAAAACTTCCCCTGCGTCCAGACTCAAGCCGCGTTCTTTCGAAATTATTTCGAAAGAACGCGGCTTTTCTTTCGATGGCGGTAAACCTCGTTTCACGAGGAAGAACGCCTTCTTTCGAAAGTTCCTCTTTCGAAAGAAGGCGTTCTTCAATGTAAAGAGGCCGTCTTCGAAAGAGAGCATCCAGACTCGCTGGGTGCTCTCTTTCGAAAAAGCGGATTTCTCTTTCGAAAGATCCGCCTGCAGTCTAGACGCGATCTTTTGAAAGAGGCTCTTTCGAAAGATGCTTTCGAAAGAAGCCTGCAGTCTAGACATAGCCTAAGAGAAACTCTCTTGTACCGCATAAATAGATACATTCTATGGTTAGATATTCAGTGGTAGTATCTTCTGCTCCCATTGACTTTTAAAAGGTCTGCTGAGTCCTGAGCCCTTTTGAAAATCCAGCCACTTATTTAGGTTCTTAAATATACACTTAGGATTCTAATGATAGACACCCTTTTTTTTATGTGCATGCCCAGATATGCTTTGGCACAAGACCTGATTTTCCCACTGCAAGGCACAGTCAGGGCACGTCTAGACTACAGGGTTTTGTTGACAAAAGTGGACTTTTGTCGACAAAATTATATCTGCGTCTATACTACCGCCGAGTTCTGTCGACAGAACGTCAACAGAACTCGGCAGTTTTGTCGACGGCGGTAAACCTCATTCTACAGGGAATAATGCCTTTTGTCGACAGAGTTCTGTAGACAGAAGGCGTTATTGCATCTACACTGTCCTTTGCGTCTACACTCTCATGTCGACAAAGCGGTTTGCTTTGTCGACAGAACTGGATGTAGTCTAGACGCTGTTTGTTGACAGAAGCTTTGTCAACAGTATCTGTTGACAAAACTTCTGCCGACAAAAGCCTGTAGTCTAGACGTACCCTCGCTGACAGCAGTTCAGGTAACACATGAGCAAATCAGAAAGGGTACGTCTAGACTACATGGCTCCGTTGACGGAGCCATGTAGATTTGTTTTTTTGGCAAAGGCAAATGAAGCGGCAATTTAAATAATCGCCGCTTCATTTAAATTTACATGGCTGCCGCGCTGAGCGTAGCTGAGCGTAGCTGATTAGCTGTTTGTCGGCTCAGCGCGCTAGTCTGGACGCGCAGGTGTCGACATCAAAGCCCTTTGTCGGCAGCCCCGGTAAACCTCGTCCCACGAGGAATAACGGGGATGCTGACAAAGGGCTTTGATGTCGGCAGGGGAGTGTCCAGACTAGTGCGCGAGCTGACAAACAGCTGATCAGCTGTTTGTCGGCTCAGCGAGGCAGCCATGTAAATTTAAATGAAGCGGCGATTATTTAAATCGCCACTTCATTTCCCTTTGCCTATAACCCTAATCTACATGGCTCCGTCAACGGAGCCATGTAGTCTAGACATAGCCAAAGGGAGCTTTTCTGCTCATAGTGGTGTAGCTAACAAGTCCTCTGTATGGAGGAACACCAGTGGCTACGTCTACGCTGGCATGATTTTCCGGAAATGCTTTTAACGGAAAAGTTTTCCGTTAAAAGCATTTTCGGAAAAGCGCGTGTAGATTGGTAGGACGCTTTTCCGCAAGAGCACATTTTGCGGAAAAGCGTCCATGGCCAATCTAGACGCACTTTTCCGCAAAAAAAGCCCCGATCGCCATTTTTGTGACCGGGGCTTTTTTGCGGAAAAGAAATCTCTGCTGTCTACACTGGCCCTTTTGCACAAAAGTCTTTCGGAAAAAGACTTTTACCCGAACGGGAGCAGCATAGTATTTCCGCAAAAAGCACTGATTTCAGACAGTAGGAAGTCAGTGCTTTTGCGGAAATTCAAGCGGCTGATTTTCTGGAAAAACTGGCCAGTCTAGACACAGCCCAGTGAGTATACCTAGAAGTCTGCATTCCTCTATGTGCAGCATACATCTATGCTCAATATGCACTTTGATATTATTCGTGCCCACCCACCATCCCACAGCTGCCTGGCTCCCTCCTAAAAACCGTCACAAAACTATCCCGCTGACTCCACTTTCTTCCCCCCCACCCCCCTTCTCCTCCACGCTAAAATGGCCTGTTCCCAAAATGAGCTGGGGATGCTAGAAAAAGGTGCTGACGTCAATGTAAAAGTAAACCAAAGAAGTCTGGTTCCTGTATCACTCGGCAGGGCTCCGCGCTGGGGAGTAACTGCACTGTCATTCGAGTCAAGGACCTGGGAGCAGGCTTTCAAGCCCTGTAGCTGAACTCTCCCTGTCAAGCTGTGTATGTAAGTACTAGGCGCTCCTCGGTGCTGAGAGCCCGTCTAAGGCCCCCTTGGGGAGTTTTATCAATTGCCGTCTAGAAACGAAGCATGTTATGTATCGGTGGTTGCTTTGTGCACATGTTGGAGGGCATTTAATTCCACTTGACAATCTTCACTAACAAGTCCAGTGTGTCCTGAGCTGGCTTGTAAAATGGGCAGGGGGGCAACTTAAATTACAGAAAGTCTCAGTCATCAATTGCTTTCTAGATAATAGGGTCATTGTGGAGTTTAACAGTCAAGTATGTGGCTTGAAAAATGAGATGGTCATTGGTCAGTTAAGAAAGGGGGAAATCCAGTGGTTTCCATGCTGTTCAATTATATCAGAACTGATGGGTATATAGAAATAAACGCGTGTGTGTGTGTGTGTGTGTGTGTGTGTGTGTGTGTGTGAATACCAACACACACAAGCATAGGTGCATATGCACACATACTATGGATAGAAATGTCTGTTCACATTTGATAGATAGCTGGGTATGGCAGACGATCACATGTATGTGTGTGTGTGTGTGTGTATATCTATATCTATATCTATATCTATATCTATATCTAGCTAGCTAGCTATATCCATGTAAATACCAAACTATGAGTAAAGGGTTTATATTAAGAAAATGAAAACTGAGTCTGACATATCAGAACAAACTTAAAAAACAACAGTCTAGTAGCACCTTAAAGACTAATAAAACACATAGATGGTATTGTGAGCTTTCGTGGGCACAAGCCACTTCTTCAGATGACCGGAGACTCCACGAAAGCTCATGATACCATCTACATGTTTTGTTAGTCTTTAAGGCACTACCAGACTATTTGTTGTTTTTTAAGTTTTTCCTGTTACAGACTAACTCGGCTACCCCTCTGAAGCATACCTCAGGATGAACTTCCTAATGATGGAAGCAGTTAAGGATGTGAGAAAGTCTCATCGGGACCACTCTTGGTCTAGTTGTGGAATGGGTTGCCTCATAGGTATCTCTGATTTGTATTTTCGCTATCAGTATCCACGGAGTTGGTGCACAAGCCAGTTAGTGGGTGAGTCTGTTCAATTGAAAACGGAGTTTCCTTTTGGCTCGCTTCACACAATGGTGTTGGCAACGAAAGGCGTCTCTTTGTCAAGCAGTTCTTAAAGGCAGACTCCAATTTCTTTTCTTAGCTCTAATCTGGTATCTTCCTGAAGCTACAGCTGCATTCTTAACGCCGCAACACATCCTGCATCAGAAAGCAAAGCCAGGATGGCAGAGTGTAGAGATGTTTTATCCCTAATTACATACTAATGGCAGGGAAGTTGAAAAGTCAGGGGCCAACACTGCTGTTTTCTGGCTTTGGATCTAAACTTTGCACCTCATTGCTAATAAATGCATAGCTGTGCAGGACGAGATGGTAGCCATGCAGCAGTTACCTCTACCACCAGTCATGTGAAAAATTTGTCCTCCACACTACTTGATTTATCAGTGGCACTGACCTAGCAGGGTCACGCTGGGCATCAGTGAGGAGATTGGGCAGTAGGCTGGTAAACTTTGTGAAGGAGAATGTTTTTAACTTTTTCTGGTAGAAAATAAACCTCTCAGCCGACCTGGGAGAAAAATCACAGAGAAAAATTCCCCTCCACCCATAAGGAACCTC